ATATATATATATATATATATATATATATATATATATATTTTTTTAAATATATACTCAAATAAACTACTACTTGTACTACTATTCCTACTTTTGTGGTTTTTCACGTACCTTCAGGGTGTGAATCCCCTGCGATAAACGAGGGACTACTGTATTTCTAAAATTTTCTACAGAAACCCACTTCAAAGTGGCCCAACTATTTAAGTATATATATATATTTAATGTTTGTATTCTCTCAAACTGTTTTGTGTTGTGTTAATTGTATCATTGTGTTATCCAAGGTGCTGGAGGTAGCCTCTCCTACAGCAGGCAGTGCTCTGCTAGGCCCCTCTCAGATCCAGTCCCTCCAGGCAGCTCAGGAGCTCACTGTCCGCACCATGTCTGCACACGGGGAGTCCTGTGACTCTTTGCCAGTAAATGTGCCCTCCAAGCTGGCTGCCATCATGGCAGGCCCAGCTGTAGTCACCCCAGTTGTACCACCCCTGCCCTGCAGTTCCCTTAATTTTTCCCCACCACAGTCCTACATAAACTCTGCTGCCAAAGTCTCTGTGCTGCCCAGCACTTTGCCATCAGACACACACATGCCTCGCCACGCAGCGGAAGGTGCTGCTAACCTGCCTCATGCTCTTTGCTCTGAAGATCTTCTCTCCTCCGCCTCCTACGTGAAAGCCTGGGCCACCCCCTCATCTGCTGCTGCCTTGGCTGCATGTGAAGCAGCCTCCACCATTACTCCGGTGGTAAGGCCCTCTCTGTTATCGCCCTGCATTGAAAGTATACAACTTGTTTGATCTTTTAGGTCATTGTTTTAATTCACTTTCCTTAAAAAGACATAATTGTTCATATAACAACTTAAAAATGAAAATGCTAGTAAGAGAGTGAAAATGAGTACACAGTTATTCACAAGCTTTTATTTCCTATGGTGATTTTCATCTTTTACTTCATATTGCAGCAACTTATAATACAGACCATTAATAAAAAAATAAATAAATAAAACAAACTTTCTAAGATAAATGATCCAAAGAAAAAACGAAGAATTTAGGACAGCAAGCCTATCCATCAAACCCTGAAAAGCTGATCCACTTTGTGACACATATTCCTTTTTATTTTTTCATATACATCTGTCGAAAGATGGATGTTTATGTTAAAGTCTCCTTCCATTTGACCGTCTAAACCATCTTTTGATGGGGCATGGTCAAATGTTGTACAAGGTCTTTTCTTGTCTGGGCCATTGCTATAGATTGCTGTATTGCTATATAACAGTTTGTCAACAGTTGTAAAATGTGCCGTGTGCGGTACTCTTGTTCACTTTTTGGTGGACCAGCACAGTCAGATGTTAGATATCTATCTTCACTAGCTTTGCAGCGAAATACGTCTCATTATGTCTCAGTATCTGTAAGATATGAAGAAATGGCCTAACATTCTTTATTCTTATTGTATATGTGAACAGTCAACTAAGAATTATGTAAGAAATCATAAGTGAAACAGTATGTAAAGTATGTCTATCTCGCAGTACTTTTCTGTGTTGCTAAGTCATTTGTTCACGCTTTCTTTTAAAGTACTTTCTGTACATTTATTAGTACGTTGCAAGAAGAAACTACAGGTACAGTAGTTCTGCATGACTTCATTACTGCTGTTTTGGCAAAATATAAACAAGTATGAGCTGAAATTATATAAAATTGCTGCAAAATAGTTAACAACTGTAGGGTAGCTTTTTGTACTTATTGTATTCTGATCAATAAATGTCATGAAATAACATTATATCTTTCTAATTTTCAGGTTAATGTGATGTCCCCTATCAACACAACATCTCTGCCATCTCCAGCAGCAGCTCCGGTGTCGGCTGTAGCACCATCGCCTGCGTTGGACCAGCGCAGAGATACAGACAGCCCAGGATCCATACGTCCTTTCCCGTCCATCACAGAGTTCATCGACGACCCCAGTGCCAAGCTTGTTACTCATGAGCCCATCCCGACCCCTCCCAAAGCCCCAATTACAGACCTTCTTGACCCTCAGAGCACTAACCTCCTCCGACCGCCCAGCACCTCACCTCTGGAGTCAGAGGTAGAGGAGGATCTGGAGAACACACGCCTGGTGTCCATCGATGAGTTTTTGAGACAGGACCAGGAGCCGGTGTACAGCAGGAGGCAACAGGTCAGCTCTGGTTCACTGATACTCACCAGGAACAGCATCTCTGATCCTTCACCACAAAAACACATCATTATGAACTAAAACCAAGTCCATCTGATTGATTTTATCACACACAGGATCTCACAATGTTGATTAACAGTCAAAAATGTAATGGGCACACAGAGTCATGATGAATGTACAGCAGAGTCCAGTCAGATGTCCAGTTTTTATATTTGGGACAAACACCCGGAATAGCTTCTTTGATTGGATAAAGGTTCTCAGATCTTTGAATGATCTGTTTTAACTTCAAGTTTATCATTAATATGTGGAAATGTAGATGAAACCAGGCATTCATATGTTTACCTGGAATTAAAATAACAGAGGAATACTCGTAAGTTGCACTCCATATTAGAGTTCACTATTATGCATGCTCAAGCATTTAAATTATTTTAAATATTTCTTGTTTTTTTAATTGCATGAGGAAATCTGTAGTGGCAGAGAAGTATGTTAGACTGGTACAGGACATGCATGAGAACAGCAGGACAGTGGTGAGATGTGCTGTAGGAGTGACAGACAGCTTCAAGGTGGATGTGGGAGTGCATCAAGGATCTGCTCTGAGCCCCTTCTTGTTTACTCTGGTGATGGACCGACTAACAGATGAGGTCAGGAAGGAATCCCCATGGACTATGATGTTTGCAGATGACATTGTGATCTGTGGTGAGAACAGGGAACAGGTGGAAGAGAACTTGGAGAGGTGGAGGTATACACTTGAGAGAAGAGGAATGAAAGTCAGCCGTAGTAAGACAGAGTACATGTGTGTGAATGAGAGGGAGGAGGTGGAACAGTGAGGCTACAAGGAGCAGAGGTCACAATGGTGCAGGACTTCAAGTACATGGGGTCCACTGCCCAGGAAAATGGGGAGTGTGGTAAAGAGGTGAAGAAGAGAGTCCAGGCAGGATGGAGTGGGTGGAGAAAAGTTTCAGGAGTGATTTGTGACAAAAGGGTGTCAGCAAAGGTCAAAGAAAAAGTTTACAAGACAGTGGTGAGACCAGTTATGTTGTGTGGTCTGGAGACAGAGACATGGACAAAAAGACAGGAGAAAGAACTGGAAGTGGCAGAAATGAAGATGTTGAGGTTCTCCTTAGGAGTGACAAGGATGGAGAAGATTAGGAATGAGATCATCAGAGGAACAGCACAGGTTGAACAACTGGGAGATTAAGTTAGAGAGGACACACTGAGATGGTTTGGACATGTCCAGAGGAGGGACAGTGGTTTGGACATGTCCAAATGACGGACAGTGGGTATATTGGTAGAAGGATGTTAAAAATGCAGCTGCCAGGAAAAAGGCAAAGAGGAGATGTATGGATGCAGTTAGAGAGGACATGGAGGTAGTTGGAGTGAGGACAGAGGACGCAGAGGACAGAGTGAGTTGGAGGAGGATGACTTGCTGTGGAGACCCCTGACGAGGGAAAAGCCAAAAGAAGAAGAAGAATGACTTTGTTGTACATGTACTCTGGACTTTGTTGTTTTCAACCAGTTTGACAAGATTGTGAACAAGGAAGAGGGCCGGAAATGGAGGAGGGGCGTACCAAAGAGACCATCTTATCACAAGCAGAACTGGATTGTTCCACTTTGGAGTAATCTGTTGGGGGAAGAATCAGTTTAGTTGTGTGTTTCCTCGACTGATGAAGCCTTCTGGATTGAAGGCGAAATGTTTCAGCACAAAAAAAGAAACTGTCCAGATGACCTGACTGAAAAATGTTGGATTGTATACCTGGATTATTGAGCATGGACTTTGTTAAGAAAAATGGTTTTCATATAACATCCATGTAGGAATTTATTAGTTATCTTTTTACTCATTAATTTTCAGGTAACCAATATTATGACATTTTTCATTTTCGTGTTTGATTTAGTGTAATACATAATCACAAATAAGATTTTTTTCTTGTTCTTTTTGTGTGTGTGTGTGTGTGTCTTCTAAGTGATTGTGACTTTGTGCAAATTATCAAACTTACCAGTAATCACTCCCAAATGATTTTTTAATTCCAGGTTGTAAAGCAACAGCACAAAAAAATGCAAAAGAGGATGGATACTTTTACAGCCCACTGTACAATGGAGTAAAATGTAGAAATTCAAACTGCACACATTTACATCAAGTATGATGATGTGATGCTCCACTGTGTTATTGCAGAGTTATGCCAGAGGACCTGTGGAGCCTCTCAGTAACTACCATGCAGACAACAGCCGCTCAGACCTGTCAGACATCCTGGAAGAGGAGGAAGAAGACCTTTACTCTGACCACCTCGGAGAAGCACAGGCCAGAGGTTTCACCACTGGAGCCAACAGGGTAAAGACACTGATGCTCTGCAACACCTCACATGGCTCTACATTTTCGCAGGCGCTGCAGGGTCTGCTTTTAGAAGGATATTTGCTGCGTTTTGTTCATTTGTTGATTTCTGTCCTGTCTTTGATTGTGTTCATGATTTATTTTTCCTCTTCTGTTTTTTCACTTTGCATAATTCTTTTTCACTGAACAATTCAACTTCATCAATCCATTCTCGGTTGCTTTAAACGATTGCTCCTAAAGTCGCGCAAGTTAGACACACCAGACAGTGAGGAGGAGCTTCTGGAGAGGATTCTTAAGTTGCCCCCTCAGGTCCTTCACAGCAAGCAGCTGTTCAGTATCGCTGAGGTGACCGAGGAGGAAGACAGCAGTCAAGAAGATCCTTCACTTCATCGCAGTAAGGTTCGGCCAGGACCCAGCCACCTTCACTCCAGAAGCTCTGAGGCTCTTCGTCATGATCCTCAGCTTCACACACATACGACCAACCCAAATCCACCTATTCTACCTCACCACCATCATTCCAAACCTCTGACCAAAGAGTTTTTAGTTAGACATGATCCTGTACAGGTCAAACCAAAGACACTTTACAGGACGCACTGTGCCGACACTGTTAGCTATCCTGAAAATGAAAATACAAGTTCATATGAAGGTCCCACCAGCAGGCGGGTTTCAGCCCGCTCTTCTCCTAGTCTCACTCCCAGCAGCAAAGACAGATCACTGCTCAAAGGACTTGGGGACCGCCTTAGAAGGGCAGCAATGCTCAGAAGTCAAATGGCTGTCGCTGCGGTGACCAACCCGCACCAAGGTCTTTCTGCACCGAGAACCTACCCAGTCAGCAAAACAGTGCAGGGTCTGAAGTCGCCCGTTGGTCGTGGGATGGAGATTGATGTGGAGTACGGTACAGACAACGAGGAGCCTGTGGAATGCTGTGTTGGGGAGGTGGCGATGGAGCAGAGGAGCTCGGAGTGGTGGGTGGAGGGGGCTCAGGTGGAGCACAACAGACCTGCACACCGACGAGGAGCGAAGGCTGAACCGACGGTAACTACAGACCAGCTGTAGTGGCTTTATTGTCCCAGCCCCATCCCCCCTTATCTGTGCAGATTAACCCATCTGAATCATGTGTACAGCAGATAACTCCACTGCTCACTAGACTGAAACTTTTCAATGATCATCCTCATCATCACTGCTGTGAAGCCAACACTGCAGAATCTCCTTCCCTCCCCTGTCTGCTCCAGCTGCTTTAAACTCCTGCTCTTTAACCCCCCACCCCCCCCCCCCCCCCCTTTCCTTTCCCAAGATACTCAGCAATGCCTGGCTCCTCAGCTGCTTACAGTCCCTGTCTCTGTTCCCTCTCGACTGCTGCAGCTATAAACTGTTGTTTTTGAGAAACCTCTGTTTTGATCCGTGCTGTAGTGACTAGTGGTCCAAAACATTGATGCACAGAAAAGAGGAGCACGTGTATTTACTGTTATTTACATCCTAAATAACCTTTGCATTGATTATTATTTCCTTGCTATCTGTTTCTTTGTTTTGAACAGGAGCCCTGCCAAGTCCCTCCAGCCGTGGCAGGCCCGTCGAGTGGGGGGCAGGCAGAGCTTTCCTGTAAAGCAGCATGCTCGCAGGCTGGGTTATTCAAAGGTTAGAGCATGTCTCCTCATTCATATTTCCTGTCTTGCTGCAGTGGAACTGTTTGGAGAGATGCGTGTGGTTCTTGTCGGCAGGCCTCTCCCTTTCCTCCCATGAAGGCTGTCAGATTAGCACCTTGCGCTTTAGGGGATGGGAGGAGGAGCAGAGCGAGTAGGTGGTGCTGTAGCTGCAGTGGAGAAGTAGGAGAAAGCCTGCTAAGCTAAGAACCGGCTTAACCCAAAGTGGCTTGTCATGACAGGAGGAAGTGACAGTCATTAAAATAGTAACCTCATTTAGCCAGAAGAGAAACCGCCCAACATACAAGCTCCTCTTCCTCCCTCTGCAGCTCCCTCACTCGCTTCTTCTCTTCTTGTTCAGTTTAAGACCACAGATTGCAGCTCAATACCAGACCTTACTGTTTTACGTTAACACACCAAGCATACATTTGTGTTTTACATGTGCACTGATAGAGGAAGGGAGCAGGGAGAAGTTGTGTCCTATCGACTCAAAACGTTAGTGAGGATGTGAAAGCCTGCGAGTCGTCCGCCCGTGACTCTTGTCACACATGGATTGATTCTCTCTAATGAGATGAGTTCAGCTTAGAGCCTCACTACAGCTCCTGAGATATGTCTCTTACTGCCTTATGTTTCATCTGAAGTGTCTGGAGCTACACTGATGGATGTCATACTTTATGCTGCCGTTCTGTACTTAGTGCTGCTGGACAAAAACCGGCTTCTTTACAGTGCATGGTCTGCAGCATGCTGCATTTTAAATTTCATAACTTGCTTTTTCTGCAGCATGGAGGCTGTGTTATGAAATATTGCAGGTTAGCTCCAGGTTAGTTCTGAGTGTGAGGAAAAACGTTTTTCTCTCTTGCTTGCCTTCAGATCATGAAAGAGTTTATCAAACGGCTCGCACAGCTTAGGATCAGTGGTTTAGCTTGATTACCTCTTTACAGAGCAGGTGCTGGGCCAACACTGCGCATAGCAGCTCGCAGGCTTCACTATCTGCAGGAATTGTTGCAAACTGTTCAAACAACGTGTTCCCGTTGCTCTGTTGTGCTACAGAAAGTCATTGTAATATCAAATAGAAAGTGAAGCGGAACATTTACCACTAAATCTTGGAAGTTACCGATTCAGCTACTGTCAGAAGCACCAACAAATATCAGCTTTCTTTTAAAAAACTCATTAATAATAATTTAGGACTTATTTTTATAGCAATATAGTGACAGAGAGCTGTTTTATAGTTTTGTCAAAATCCTATTGCCCGTGTGGACATTTTTCAGTTTTTTGCTCATTTCGATCGTCGTTAGATTTACTGCTGCCAATTCTCAATCAAGCTGCACTTTTTAATGTTTTGCTTGTTTGAGTTTTCCCAAAGTTAGGGAGGAGTAGCAACAGTAAATCATGACAGAAATAGGAAACTGTCAGCCAAAAAGTGATAAAGTTATTTCAGTGTGTATTTGTTGGTACTCTTATTTGCTGACAATCCTTTACATTCTTATTTGTAAAGGATTTGGTTTGTGCTTCAAGTACTCAAAATCAGCTGATTTACGAGCTAAACCGTAAGATGGACGCGATTTGTGAGAATCGCAGGCCACCTGCGACTTTTAAAACTCATCAACATGTTAGAGTCAACCTTGAAGAATGCTCATAGTGGAATGCCCATAAATCTGGTCTTTTGAATCTGGAAAGTTCCAGCAGGACTCAAGGCTGACAAGAAAAAAAACAGTCTGCCTGAAAAAAATCAACAATTGTGGCTTATCTGAATCTGACTCCCCCATTTGGCCTTGGATGCGGACCAACTATCAAATTTCTCTTGGGACATGGATAAACTAAGGAAAAAGCTTTGTCTATTGCAACCTCCCCAAGAACTTCTGTGCAGGCTTATCAGAACTGCCGGCTGACGCCAACATCTTATCAGGACTATGGCGCTATCTGAAGGTGCTTCATGGACAAATCTCACCGTCTTCACGCCACATGACGCATATGTAACGTGTCTGTAAATGTGCTTGCTGTTTTTTTTTATGTCTTAAATCATGTCCTGATAGGACAAGATATGAAGAGAACTGTTTTGTAATGCAACTATCCATCATCATGGCCTTTTACATTTTTCTATCTAAAAAGTATTCTGATAAAGAATAAGGGGCTGCGCTCTTGTAGCAGCAGCAACGTGCACTCCGCCCATCTTTCGGACGACTGTACGAACATAATCTCACTGTATCTCGGTGCAATGATAATAAAGCTTGTTCGATTCTGATTTCAAGAGAAATGGAAGAAGAAATTGAATTAGTTTGTGGGTGAAGATCTACATAATGCTGGGTCACTGTTGGTATTTTTTACATTTGTAGGGTACCAGACTCTTGTTGGTTTGGGATTGAGTGTATATTTGTGTGTGTGACCTCAGATAAATCTTCAAAGATGAAAGGAGATTGTGACACTCGCATCTTTGTGGCGCTCTTCCCATACGATCCGGCCACAATGTCCCCCAATCCTGACGCTGCTGAGGAGGAGCTTCCATTTAGCGAAGGACAGATCATCAAAGTACGTCCTGAACTTTTTCTGTTACTCAGTATTTCATTGTTTTCTGTTTTTGACACAATGTTGCACTCTTCCCTGCAGGTGCACGGAGATAAAGATGCGGATGGGTTCTACCGAGGGGAGTCGGGTGGTCGTCTGGGCTATGTGCCGTGTAACATGGTGTCTGAGGTCCAGGTGGAGGATGAGGAAACCCGGCATCAGCTCCTGCAGCAGGGCTTCCTGCCCACAGCGACCTCCATGGAGAACATGGGTACGTGGCAGGCAGTGGTCAGCTGTATCACAATGTTGTTTCAAAGCTTTTACTGTGTACTGTGTAACTTGTAACGCTTTGTCCATGAAGTCACTGCTTTTTATGTTTTAAGTGGTAAGTGAAAATGGGAGCACGTGAATTTCACAATTCAAAACAAAGTTTTACCCTTCAGTTCTGATCAATGTGGCCTTCATGCTTAAAAACAAAGCAAAACTTAAAGCTCTTCATTTAATGCTGAAACTTCTGTTTTGTTTATCGTTCCCTCAAAAATGGGTTCCAGTGCTAAACAAGAGCCAGCGCTCACTTAGCGCCAGCTCTCTCTGTCTCTAACATCAAACACTTGAGCTCTGGCTCAGAAAAAAAATGGTTTTAAGTTTTCTGAGCACCAACTCTGCAGGGCCGGAGCAAAGAACGGCTTTCATCAAGACTTGGGGTGGGTTCTTGGAGACCAGGCAGCCACCAATAAAAATGTTGTGAACACCATGTTTAAACCATGAAGTTAGTTTCACTTTTGGTCTACTTGATTTAGAACAAAACAATAAAGATTAACTGTGAAATAACACAAGCTCATAATCTCTGATCTCCCTGCAGTTTTTGTGTTTGCTTTGGATCACATGTTGGTGGTAAAACCTGGTCAGAGCACCACTTGGATCACAAGTTACTGGTGTCCGCAGACTTTATGATCCAGCTGCAAACACTATTAAAAAATATTTGGCAATATTCTTTTTATTTTTGGGGCTGCAGGTGGCGCAGTTGGTAGAGCTGCTGCCTCTCTGCAAGTAGGTTACCCCTAGTTCAAACCCCGGTCCAGGGGCCTTTCTGGGTGGAGTTTGCATGTTCTCTCCGTGCATGCGTGGGTCTTCTCCAGGTACTCCAGTTTCCTCCCACAGACCAAAAACATGCACGTTAGACTGACTGGTAACTCTTAATTGTCTCTAAATGTGAGTGAGAGAGTGAATGGTTGTTTGTCTCTGTGTCCCTGTGATGGACTTGCAACCTGTCCACCCCCGCCCCTCGCACAGTGATTGCTGGACATGGGCACCGGCGACCCCCGTGACCCAAAAGGGACGAAGCGGGTAAAAGTGATGGATGGATGTTCTTTTCTTACATTAAAAAAATCTCAGTTCAAACATTTTACTGAACTTTTAAATACTTGTCCTGCACCACGTAGTGGAAATAATGTCCACACATCCGCATGTCCACTTATAAAAATACAGAGATAAAAACATTGTTAGCTTAGCCCAACATTCAGCCAAAGCACTCGTACTTACTTTTTTTGGCGAGATGTGGTTTACAGTTTTCTGTCTTTTTTATTACTCCAGCAATCAAAGTCTAATGACAACAACATTTGTATAAAATAAGACAGAAAAAAAGCAGAGAATAGCAGTCCCATACTTGTTTTGGTTTCTAAAACACAAAAACACAGTGAGGCTGTGAACCAGGCTGCTGAGACATTGTTTCCCAAAATACAAAATGGATCTGTTACACACCCCTGCTTTGGAAAGAGTTTTAAATAAAGAGATTTTGTATAATATCAGTTTGTATGTGGATGACAGATTCAAGAATTCAAGAATTTTTTATTGTCATACCAGCTCACATTTGCATGTCTGCGGTACGAAATTCAAACTCAGGTCCAAGATCAAGAAGCCTAACAATTAACATATAAATAA